CAATAACAAGCTCTTGACCTTGTTCCAACCCGTATAAAGATTTTTAGCACCCGGTAAACAAGATTTGGGAATAAAGACCCAATAAATCCGAGGGGTTATATAAACACAGACCTCTCATATGAAAACTCAAAACAAAGTATGCATATCCAAAAATAATGTTTGATCAATAAGGGAAATTTTCTTTGAAACAATTTGATCAAATCACATATAGAATACCCAAGGGTGAAAAAATATGATATTCTACAAAATATATGTAAGGATAAATAATATACACAAGGGTGAAACAAGCAATATAATCACGGAGTTCGGACCTTCCGTCCTACGTCTCCGCTCCTTACTCCTGGGGAGAAATCCACTATCACACCGGGTTTTCTACGTTAACCCGAATAATGTTTACACCTCACACTCGGTTTCTAGCTCACCGAAAACTTTACAATCTCACACTCTTGCAATCCCAGTCTACAACCTCTAACTATTGGTCTCTAGCCCGTGTCTCCCTCAAGTGTTAGGAATTACAACCTACCTCTAGGCATTACCACTCCCTCAAGTGTTAGGAATTACAACCTACCTCTAGGCATTACCACCTACCCCACTCCTCTTGGGATGACCCCGTCTCTCACCTACCTCTAGGCATTACCACCTACCCCACTCCTCTTGGGATGACCCCGTCTCTCACCACACACTTCTCTCATTATACAAGTGTATTATAAAGTGTAACTCACAATTAACGCTCGATACAACAAATGTTTGTTCTCTATTATGGATGAGAACACAATATAAGCTCACACTCAATGATACACCCCCCACAACCCAAATTATACTATGTATGAAAATACTAGAAGCTCAATGTTTGTTTGTGTAAGCAAAGAGTAAAAATAAAATCAACTAAACTCAATATAAACATTAGCTTAATAAAATGATAAGCAAACAATATAAATGTAAAGCTAGATTGAGTTTAAGAAAACTTCTCTATAGATAACAAGAGAGAGGGAGAAGAGTGAAATCTCAAACACCAAAGGATGATCTTCTCTTTGCTCTTGTGAAAATTGCTTCACAAACTAAACTTGAAACAAACTTAAACAAAACTTAAAACCCTTCTCTTTGCTCTTGTGAAAATTGCTTCACAAACTAAACTTGAAACAAACTTAAACAAAACTTAAAACCCTTGTAAAACTTGTTTTAAACACTGCTTCACAAACTAAACTTGAAACAAACTTAAACAAAACTTAAAACCCTTGTAAAACTTGTTTTAAACACGTTTTTATTAATTTTTGAACTGAGGATATGTGGGGGTATTTATAGAAAACCCTAAAGCCAAGAATAAACCAACAAAACCTAACAAAAAGACAAAATAATGGAAACAAAAAGTAGTCGTTATTATCGTTGGTGGACCGATCAATCGACTGATGAGCTGACCGTTGTAGGCAAATGGCAGCTCATCAGTCGATTGATGATCGCAATCAGTCGACTGATAACTCATCAGTCGACTAGTTAGTCGATCAAAATAAAACAGAAACTTTTTGACTATTCTAGGCGATTTCTTTAGTCGACCGAACACATTCATCAGTCGACTGATAACACTGTATCAGTCTGTTTTGAATAGTAAAACTAAATTTTGAAGTGCCTTTAAAAATAGAAATAAATTCCAAAAAATCTAAAACTTTAGGAAATCATTGTAAACATGTAATGAACATGTTACAAAAAGAATTTTTGGAATTGCACTTCTCAATTGTGAAAACTCATCATTTTTCAAAACAAGTCCAAAACATGAAAATACAAAACACATATTTTTGATATTTTAGCTAAACCATGTTTTGAAACTTCTTGTATGGCTTTATAGACTTGGTAAAAAGTATAAACTATAGTTGTTAAGTCTATATGAAACATATGAATATGAAACATATGAATGTGTATATGAATATATATTTGTTTCATATCTACATAACTACACAAAACAAGTTAGCCATATGAAAACAAACATGTATATATATAATATGTATTTGTTTCATATTTAAACTTCAACATCAAAAACCAAAACTTGTGTATATATATATATATATATATATATATATATATATATAAAGAAACCAAATACCTATGTCTGTATATGAGCTTAAAGTATCTACACACAAGTATAAACCTAAACTAAATTACCCAAGATATCTTGATCTTCGATGTAGCTCAACTTGATACACTTGCGGATGAAGCTTGAACTTGAATCTTTAACTTAAATTGCATGGCTTCACTCCATTATTCCACCAACTTCCATTAGATATGATCATTGAAGCTTAGTTCCATCCATCCACCAATATATTGTATGTCTATAATAAATACAAAAACACAAATACTAGACAAATAACATTAGTAGTAAATTAATTGTTAAACATCATCAAAACAAAAAGGCCAACACACCACACCCCCATTGAGCTCCTCAAATGATGCAAACCAATCTCTCTGGGGGGTCACATGATAAGTAGCACCAGAATCCAGCATCCAATCTCATGCCTCCACATGGTTAATCTATGGAGTAATCAATAGAGAAAAGCATGAATCATCAGAATCTTTACCACTCTTAGCAACATTCACCTCACTTGGCCTTGGGCCCTTCTTCTTGCTATTCTCCTTCTCTCTAAGCTTCGGGGAATCTCTATTGTAATGTCCTTATTATTTACAGAAATCACACTGGTTCTTCACAATTTGGTAGTGTCATCTTAACTTTGACCTTCCCCGATTGCCACCTCTCGGATAGGGACTCCTTCCTCTTGTCAACAAGGCTTCTCCTGAAGTACTCACTCTGAAAGATTCTTTATCCTTCCTCTTCAAATCGAAATTCGTCAATGCGTTAGTCATTCACTATAGGTGATAGAAGATCTACTATTCAACAATGTGAGTATGAATGTATCAAATCCTCATAAGGTAATAAGCCTAACAAAATGATCGCCTTGTACTCATCCGATATCTTCTCATCCACATTCGCCAAGTCTGACAATAACTTTGTGTAGTTGTTCACATGATCTGCAAGTGAGGTACCCCTAAACATCTGGAATCCGAATAACCTTCATAGCAAGTGCAAACGATTCTCAACACTCTTCATAAAATACATGTTGTTGAGAATCTCCCACATCTTCATCACATATCTCACGCCAATCACATTATACTTCAATTCTTCTTCTAAACAAGATCTAATCACCCCACAAGCATTTAGATTCATCTTGTCTCATATCGCCTCATCATACTTTGGTGACCTCTCATGAGTCATGATCGTCTCTTCCAAGTTTTGAGCATTCAATGCATCCTGCACATCACTCATTCGCAACCCAAAGTTGATTTTATCGTCATACTTTACAACACTGATCTTCGTATTCTAAAGTACAACCTGAACTGTATTCTCCATAGCCTTGCTACTTTCACAACTTTCTCCTGTCATTACTTGCTAACTCCAAATTGTAGAGAAAAGATTCAAACTTGATAAACTTGAGAAATTACCCAAATTGAACCCTAGATTGGATTCTAACACGGCCTCCTAACTACACGAGAAAAGCGAGATCTCCAATGGTAACTCCGCAAGCTATCTCCACCGAAACCTAGATCTTAAAGATCCAAGCTTCGAACACCGAATTTTCTTCCACCCAAAACAAACCCTGGGCTATGATACCAATTGTAGCGCCCGACGGAAGTGTGCACAATCTCCAACGAGTCGGTAAGCAACGCAAGAAGAATCACAAATGAGTGCAGTCCACAATAGAACAACCAAAACCAATCACAAACACAGAGAATTTACATGGTTCTGCAATTTGACTACGTCCACGGGGAGAGGATAGAGAGATTTTACTATATGAGGAGAAATATAATGTGTTACAACTCTTTCAAACACTCAAAATAATCTTAACCAAAAGATCTCACTCACTAACAAATAATCTCCCTCTCAAAGTACTCAAAAAAACCAATTTTCTCTAATTAACGCATATCACATAACCCTAGAAAACGTGTTTCTATTTATATTAAACTCAAATCCAAAACAGACTAGGAATCAATTTAACCCAATTAACCGATATCGGTCAACTGAAAAACTCTATCGGTCAAACGATAAGTCTACATCAGTCGACTGATTGGGCAGATCGGTCGACTAACCAGAAAGATGTTTTCCAGCCCTGTAACGTACATGTTATCGGTCAACTGATACTGTTCATTGGTCGACCGAACAGAGACATTTCCTGTAGCTTCAAATTTTCCTGTATTCACTGTTTTTCATAGTACTATTATTGCAGTTAATGGATTTTTCACATAAACTATTGAAAGTATATGGAAAGTATTTAACAACACTGGTCAATGACATTCTGAGTCTATTACTATAGTTCAAAAGAAGCTAGGCTTTTTCATCATAATCGAGCCTTAATTTAATTAAAAAAACTTAAAAAGTTGTACATATACTTCAAAGTTAATTTGAAGGATAAGCATTAAAAAACCAATAAAACCTCTACCATTTGGATTTCTAGAATTAACGATAACTGTTGACACCGACGAATTGGTCTAGAAAGGCCCAAAACTAGGCCCATTGAGCTCAAGAACCTCACAGGGAAAAGCCCTGTTCTTGATGTGAGCACCTCTCTCAGATTGAATCAGTAAATGTTAAGGTGAGCTTAACTAACTTCTCATTTGTTAGAGGGTTTTTTTAATACACTAGTAGAAATTTTAATTTTCAGGATGGAATATTCTAGACCGAAAAATTTCCGTCTAGGATGTAATACCGAAAATTATCCGTCTAGGATATTCCGTCTAGGATATACTATTTTAGACGAAAATTTCTGTCTAAAATAGTATTGTAGACGGACTTATTTATTTATTTTTTAAATTAGCCAAGCAATCTAAACGGAAATCCGTGTAGATTGTATCATAGATAAAAATTTCCGTCTAGGATACTCAGGTCAATTTTTATTAAAAAATTAAGCCACTAAATTCTGTCGCCTAAAATTGCCGCCTCAACCCCCCATTCTCCCGCCTCATCCCTAAATTCTCCGCCTGAAACCCTAAATTACCAAATTCTCCGCACCATCCCATTCTTCTCCTCTGTTCGAAGGCTATAACCGCCGTCCCGTCGTCCCCCTCGATCCTGCGCCCTCCCGTCGTCCTCCTTGACATCTTCGTCCCGTCGTCCTCCTCGACGTTTCGTCGTTGCCTCCCCCTTAGCTCCTCGACGTCCTCCTCCGACATCGCCGTCCTGTCGTCGCCTCCCCCTAAGCCCCTCAGCTCCTCGCCGTCCCGTCGTCCTCCTTGATGTTTCGTCGTTGTCATCCTCCTTCGACATTGTCGTCCTGTCATTGCCTCGCCCCTCACTTCATGCCCGAGCCCTCCCTCTCCTCCGACATCACCGTCCATCCTCGCCGATACGAGAGGGAAGCACCGGATCTTAGCGGAGCTCAAGAGGTTTGTACAAGAAGCTCAATTCTTGGAGGTAATTCAAATCTCTTAATTTTGAATTGTTAGTGTAAGTTTTGTCTAGTGCAGAATTTATGCCCTAGTATTTGATGGTTAAAGAGTTACCTGTTGATTCCTTATGGAATCATGAGCCTGCACGAAGTGAATGATGAAATTGATGACTTATAGTTACATTGTCATTTATTTATTTTTAAATACAATCAAACCTTGGATAACAATTTCGTGTAATTAACACAATTTCAAGACAGATTAAGTTCTCCAAAGCATTATTTGACAGAATAAGCTTGTGCAGAGCAAGACTCCTCCTTTTTGTATAGATATTTAGAGCTATTTGGATGTCCTGTTCTCTAACCTTTATTAGAGGTTGTTAATGAGAAGTATCATAATTTACTTGATAAAAGAGGATTCCTTTTTTTTGTATATGCATTAATATAGATCATATGTGATAAGTTGTCCGGAAAACCTGGTAAAATGTAAATTATTTATTTCATCAATATTGTCATATTTAACTGTTATCATTGTTCAATTAGTTATTAATTCAGGAGAGTAAGCAAGATTTTGTACATTTGGGACTACATATTCAAGTAGTTTATGTAAAGAAGTTATATCATCTACTTAAGGTACAATCAGAGGAGAATGACGTCTTATCATGTCATTTATTGCACGTTTTTCTGTTCTGTCTCCAATTGTAATATATAAATAAGTTTTTCTAGTTCCACCCGGACCATCTATAAAGAAAAATGCAAGTGTTTGAGAATATATTTTGGCTTATAGTATCAAATGCATATTTTTATTGTTTGTTTAGTTTTGATATTGTAAGGTCTTCTTTCGATACATTGATATTTGTTTTCATTTTCTATCTCTTTACATATCCCATTGTCTTCACAATCATTATTCTCAAGATTAGTAAAGTTAATTATATTCATTCATATTAGTAGAACTCCAAATTATCACTGTCATGAAATTTGGGCTATAATCTATATTGATGTCCCGATTATCTTTTATCTCCACAAGTGTATATACAAGTTTTTATTTTTTTCAAGTATTTCCCACGAAGTGAGAACTATAGGAAGACAATCCATTTTAAGATATAGCTCGATGGCTTTATATAAACTAAGTTGTCTATTGGCAAGCATATCATGTTAGCATGTGACACTATATGCAAGAAGTGATTTAATTAAGCAACAGGAAAAAAGGGATTTTTTGCTCTCTTTTATAAGTCCAACATGCATTTTCTTTTCTTCACCTTATTAGCATCTTATCAGGACTGAAGCCACAGATGCATCTTATCACTTTTAATCTTGTTTACTAGAAGTGTTTTGCCCCCTCTTGGCTTCTAGAGCATATGTATAACACAAGTTAAGATTTGCTACTGGTATAACAGTTATTGATTGTCTAGAACCTGGTTATTTTAAGTTAAGACTTAAGACATGCTGTCTAAATTATACACATGCAAAAAAAATCAAGCTCAAATTTTTTTGAAGAGGACACACAGATAGTTGTTTGATATTTTGGACTGTCTTTCTCATTTTTTGTAAGTGTTTCAATCCTTCATACTAACGACAATGTTTTCTAGGTTATTGCTGAGAGCTTGTCAGAAGACGAAATTGTTGGCCTTAAGGAGATGTTAAAGATGATGGATACAGCCGATAGTGGTCAAATCACCTATGAAGAACTAAAGGTTGGTTTAGAAAGAGCTGGTGCAAATCTGAAGGAGTCTGAAATATCAGCTCTAATGGAAGCTGGTGCAAATCTGAAGGAGTCTAATATGTTCATTTGATTACCTAAATGAAAACTTTGCCGGTTCTTACATTTTGAGTTGGTCTGTAAATAGGTTTCTTCTATCAGTGAATAATTTGGAATATTTTTTGTTTGCGATGGATGTTGTTCTATTAATATATGCTCATACAAAGGATTTTTTCCCCTTGTAGGTATTAAGAATGTAAATGTTTGCGATTGGGCTTAATTGCAGGTGTATCTATGGTATCCACTGAGTAGGTTCACCAAAAAAAACTACCGTAGATAGCATCCTAGAAGGAAATTCCGTCTAGGATGTTTTTTTTTTTTTTTTTTAAAATAAGCATCCTAGCCTGAATAATTCTTTTTTTAAAATAAGCATCCTAGACTGAATTTTGAGTATCCTAGACGGAATTTTTGTCTAGGATGAGTATCCTAGATGTAAATTCCATCTAGGATATCCAAAACATCCTAGACGGAAAATTATGTCTAGGATAATCATCCTAGACAGAATTTCCGTCTTGGATGTTTCCGTCTAGGATTATCCTAGATCGTTTTGAATTCCGTCTAGAATAATCCGTCTAGAATGTATTCTAGATAGAATTTCCATCTAGAATAATACATCCTGGACGGAAACTTTCTAGACGGGTATCCTAGACGGAATTTTTTGTCTAGGATGCCTTATTTTTTCCCTGTGATATTAGCTCCTTAAATCTCCACTATTTTGATATTAGCACCTCAAAATTTTTGTTATTAGTTGCCCAAATTGCATAAAGTACTCTGGTAGTTAGGTGGAGTTATAAATGAAGAAGAATATTTCATTTTTTTCCGAGCAGTGACAGAACCTTTGTAGTCTATACAGATGTGTCGTTATCGGGTCTAGGAAGTGCTTTGATGCAGACCCAGAGTGTAGTGGCATACATATCACGATAGCTGATAAAATGAGCATTATTATCCCACGCACGACTTGAAGCTTACAGCAGTGGTCTTTGCACTGAAAACATGGAGACATTATTTGTATGGAGTGCAGTTCGAGCTTTTCACGAATCATCAGAGTTTGAAGTACCTTTTCTCTCAAAAAGAGCTAAATCAGAGACAAGGATGATTGGTTGAGTTTATAAAAGACTATGAGTTTGCGATTCAGTATCATCCGAGGAAGGCTAATGTTGTAGCAAACGTATTGAGTAGGAAGCATCGTCATCAGATTGCATATTTGAGGTGCTCGTTATATCAAGATTTTCACACCCTTAGCTAATTTTATTTTAGATCGGAGATCGACAGAGGCAGTACATTTTTGGGAGCTTTGTCTGAGTAGCCATCTTGGAGTAATAAAGTGATCAGAGCTCAGCTAGAGGACTCTTAAATTCAAACTCGAAAAGGGGAAATCTCCAAATAGCCAAAGGCTGATTGGACCATTGGAGCAGATGGAGGACTTCGAATGAAGGGTTGGTTAGTGATGTCGAGTGATCCGCAGTTAAAGAAGGACTTATTTGACAAGACGCATTGTACTAAGTACACAGTGCATTCAGGCACGACTAAATTGTACAAGGACCTAAAGAGATACTTTTGGTGGAGCGGCATGCGTAGGGCGATTGTAGAGTATGTGGCTAGATGTTTTACCTGCCAGTAAGTGTCCCTGCCAGTAAGTGAAGGCAGAACATCAGAAACCGGCAGGAATCCTACAGCCTTTACCCATTCCGGAGTGGAAGCGTGTAGATATTTCTATGGATTTCATTGTAGGATTTGATGAGGTCAAAGAAGGGAAATGATTCAGTTTGGGTAATAGCTGATCGGTTGATAAAGTCAGCACATTTCATTCCGTTGAAGACGACGTACACAACAGAGACATATGCGAGGATATTCATCTAGAAGATAGTGAGATTACATGGAGTTCCAGAGATAATTATATTAGACCGATGCTCAGTTTTCACTTTGTACTTTTGGAGAAGCTTCCAAAACTCTTTCGGTAGCTAGTTGTCGTATTCTAATGGTTTCCACCAGCAAACAGATGGACAAACGAAGAGAGTCAACAAAGTATTGGAGGATATATTGCGGGCTTATGTTATAGATTTCTAGGGTAGCTGGGAGGACCACATCCTATTGATTAAATTCACTTATAACAATAGTTACCAAGTGACAATTGGTATGGCACCGTATGAGACGTTGTACGGAAGGCCTTGTAGATCACCTATTTACTAGGCAGAACCAGAGTATAGCCTATTGTTTGGATCAGAGTTAGTGAGACAGACTACAAAAAAGTAGTAATAATTCAGGAGCGTATTTTGCAGTGCAGAGTCATCAGAAGAGTTATGTAGATCAGAGACGACGACCATTAGGGTTCCAGCTTGGGGACTCGACGACCATTAGGGTTCCAGCTTGGGGACTATGTATTGTTAAAAAATATCGCCAATGAAGGGAATTCAGTATTTTGGTAGACGAGGAAAAGCTTGCACCGTGGTATATCGGTTCGTTCAGGATAGTGGAGCGCATTGGAGCCATTTCATATCGGCTAGATCTTCCAGCATCGATGTCGAGTATACATGATGTCTTCCATGTTTTGATGCTTAGGAAGCATCTACGTGATGAGGAGCAACAACAAGTGTTAGACATGCCAGAGGTCGAGATTCTTGATGATGTGACTATTATTAAAATTCATGTGTGTATTCTTGCTAAGGAGGACAAGAGACTTAGAAACAAAGTGATTTCTTTAGTTAAAGTTTAATAGAATCGGAAAGGAGCTGATGAAGGTTCTTGGGGCGCGATGATGATATGCATCGCGATGACTTGCACCTATTTGAGCAAGTAAATTATTTGGATATAATTCGCCTATGTTTATGATTATCTACATGCTCATATCTATACTTAGCGCTAGAATAGTGGTATTAGCACTTCGCTCCTAATTATTCGGAACATATAGTATATATATGGGGGGTTCCTTGTTTGGATTTTTTTACCCGACGTACTAGTTCCGTTTAGTTAGGGGTTAAGTGGGAGTACTTACATTCTGAATTGTTAAGTATAAATATCGAGGAGGATTCTGGAGGGAACACGAAGATGTTATGCATTGCGACTAGCCACACCTGTTTGAGCAGATAAATTGATTGATTTTGATTGGTGTTCATGATTATCCATACTATTATATTTATATTTAATGTTAGAACAAAAGTATTAACACTTAACTCCTAATCATTCGGAACACATGGTATATATATGGGGGGTTTCTTGTTTTGATTTTTCACCCGACATACTTGTTCCGCTTAGTTATGAGTTAAGTGGGAGTATTCGCATTCTAGATGGTTAAGTGCAGATATTGCTATGTTTCATATCTGAGGATTAATGACACGAAATATGCACGAGAGGGTTTTCTTGTCTGGATTATCTCCTCTTGGTGCTTTTCTCATATTATTAATCCCTAAGATATGTTTGTGGAACTTCAGGGATGAAATTCTTTTAAGGGGGGAAGAATGTAAAACCCCGTAAAATTTGAATATTATGTGAAAAATAATAATAAATATGTTATATGGTGATAAATAAATTTGAATATTATGTGAAAAATAATAATAAATATGTTATATGGTGATAAATAACATATTTTGATGTTTGAGTATGCTAGGGATTTGAAAAATAATAATAAATATGTTATATGGTGATAAATAACATATTTTGATGTTTGAGTATGCTAGGGATTTATTCGATATCAATCTAATGTATATATATGATATAGGAGTGAAATCATGCACGTCATGCACGGGCTTGAATCTGGAAAAATGATTAGTTAAGAGTATTTACTTTTTTTACATAGATACAGCTTGAATCTGGGAAAATTCAAAAGACAAAAGTTGTAGGTCTCTTCAATAGATTTCTAATGCATCTTGAATCACCTCTTTCTGAGTTTGGATGTGAAATTTACAGCCAAACAACGAAGATATGCACACCCAGAATTTTCCTGATAAGCCGACTTATAAGTCGACTTACACCAAGTCGACTTACGGACTGTTTCCGATTTTTTTTCAGGTTTTCGGGTCGTATCTGTATTGTTTTGATCCCAGGCTTATATATACTCATTTAAATCCTATTTTACTGTACTTTTTCGTGAGAATACAGCAGCCACCCCTCCTCTAAAACCCTTGTTCAAGTTTTTGAGTTTTTGAAAGAGTTTGGTGAAGGATTTGCCAAGAGGAAGGCGAGATCTATATTTTTACTAAAGGAAGAGTTCTTGCACGTGTGTTGGAAGGATCAACAACAATGTGAGGCAAGATTATATTCATCCAAACCCATCCACATAGTTAAATAACTAGTTTAGATGTGTAATATGATATTGAATACGTGTTTTCATGCTTTAATCTTAACCTGTGGTGTTAAAAGTCAGATTTTTGATATGAAATCTTAAACCAATACTAGATCAGTAATCTTTTCTTACTGTTTATAATAGAATAATGATCATGATCTTTAATGTTTCAATTATTTTTGTTTTAAATCTTTTAAACATGATTAACTTATGTAATAACCCTAGTTTAATATTTAATTATCTTTTCATGTTAATTAATCATGCTTAAACCCTAGGTTTGTGATACCTAAATAACTTAGAGATGTTTAAACGAATTTTACGTCTCTGTTCATATTTATAAATGATCATGCTATGGAAATCATGTGATATTTCATGTCTTTATTGAAAATCTTGTATAATCATGTTCTTAACCCTAATATGTTTTAATCCAAATGCTAAATCATGTAATCTGATATTTGTTAATTAGTTGTGCTTATTTATAACCTGGTTCCTATCTTCCATGTTGAATACAACGAGTTTTATTTGAGAAATATCACAGAAAATATCGAAACATCAACCTGGAAGTCGACTAAGTCGACTTGCGACAAGTCGACTTATGCCAGGCATAAGTCGACTTATGGGCATTTTTCCAGATTTCATGAGTTTTGTTTTTGCACTGTTTTGAGATGCGTTTGTGAGGTTCAAAATGTACTTTTGTACACGTACATTCACGCATACACCAGTACAGCATCGTTGCACACACATGAGTAACCCAAATGGGGTTTTGACAAGAGTTGAGTTGTTTATAATAGAGTAGTGATTGTTCATACACTCGTTGGATATCGTTATTAAGCACAGCTCAGTACTATATGAGATAGTATATCGACATACCAG